TATATATATACATATATATATATATATAAATACACGTATATATATATTTATATAAAATGCATAGTTTCAATCTCCCATATATTAAATAGTAGCGTTGGCACGCTGCTGGAATATGCACACATTCACACACCCACATGTTTCTATTCAGGCCCATAAGCACTACATGTGTGTAAATGTTTAAGGTACCAAATTTACCCTCAAGAGATGTATCATGTTATGTATACATATTTTTGTGGTGAATATTATTGCGCATGTTTAAGATTCTATATTTGTCAAATTGCTTCCCCCCCTCGCATCTATCCGCCTTCTCATTCTTACAACTCCGTATCCACGTGTCTCCGTTCTCAGTCGTTGCCGATGGTCGCTGCAAACGTGACGGAAAGTTTATTGAGCACGTGGGGACGTATGAGGCCATCCCGAACAAGAACATGGAGAAGCACACCATGATGAATACTGAACGGATCAAGTACTGGATCTCTGTGGGCGCCCAGCCTACTAAGCCAGTCGCCAGGCTGCTTGCACAGGTTAGTGTCGAGTATACCTCTCATAAGCACACACACGAACTCGCACAAAAATTATACACGTGTATATATATAAATGACATATCGTTGTGTCTTCAGTGCTATGCCTATGATATCTATCTGGTGAACATCCCATGATAGAAAGTACTGAATTATTATATTTTCAATTCGTCAACGGGATTGATGCGTACTGCTTTAATTCAACAGCGCGAACATCTATTGCCCCCCGTGCCGACAGTATACTGAATGTGTTGGGTTCCGATACAATCGTCCTATTCTATTGAGCAGGGTGCACGGGCAACGCTTTATCTGAACAGGGTTAAAAGAATATTCCCGATTTGCTGGTGCTGATAACGGGTATATACCTCAATTATCGTCATGATCTTGTGCTCTCCCCATGCTCAGAACGCGCTCTCGTAGTCAACAAACTGAACCCAATTCACAATTCACTCACTTGTCGTTCGTATGCGTAGGCTGGGCTCATTCCTCCGCCACCGGGATTCGAAGCACGGCGCCTGATGCGTGAGAAGTTGATTGACAACCCCACGGGCACCACTCCATTCCAGGCATGTGCTCCCGTGCTCTACTCTCTCCTTCGAACCACTTTGTAGCTGCTTGCATAGAGTTCTTGTATCCGGAGTTGAGAGACGCAATGAACTGAACAGTGTTTGGGGGTGGGTCTAAAGTTGGGATTAGGATATCGATATGTGAGGATATGTTTGTGTAGGTACAGGTATGCCCCGACAGTGTTGTGGCGTGAAGGGACCTCTCGTATGCAAGCGTACGTATGTGTAGTTATGTGCCCATGGCTTTCGGTGTTAGGTTTGCGTCTTGTTGAAGCTTTCGGCACCACTATTACGCCTGCTGACAGAGATCTGTAATTTTAACCTCGCTTTATCTCTCGTATGTATAGAAATGGATGGATGAGCTACCCCAAGGTGAACGTAAGAATTATCTGAAGGTACTGAACCATAAGATCCGGATTACAGACGCAAAAGGAAGGTATGCAGTCATCTTCAATGTGTATTTACAGGCTGTGTGCATCTAGCGCAGTAAGGAGATCATGGTCTGACAATCAGAGGATATTGTTCGTGTTTTAATGGCCATGCTCAGTCAACGGGTTTGCGTTGTGAGCGGTGCTCAGAAAGAAAAGACCAAATGTTGGGGTGAGTAGTTTTTTTATGGTCATTTCAACATAGTTTATAAACTTTGGATTGATACCATACACTAGGTGTGGATACTGCCATGATGTGGGCCATGGGAAAGACACTTGTCCGGTGAGGAAGGAGGATCGTCTCACTTACAAGTATGTGTGTTCATGGCGGATATCTTGTTGTTCGTAGACAACGGTACGTCCACTCGTACAATCTGATAGCACATAACCCCTTCTAAAGCAGAGATTATGCAGAAGAGCAGTCCACGTATTTGTCCACTTCTAGTACTATTTTGATGCATGAATGCTGAGAAGATTATGTAGCTACACAAACGGATACCTCAACTATTGTTGCACCCATTGCTGGCCCCATCTCCACACCGGTCCACTTGGAATATTTTCGATCGACGTTATACTGAAACAATCTGAGTCAACCGAACTCCACACTGTAGCCCCATTTCCCCGTTTGTTCAATTGCCATGAGCAGGTGTCACTTTCGTCATGAGTTGACCCGCTTGTTCCAACCTATGCGATTTGTGGAGTCGATTGTGAAATCGTCTACAGTTGTAGATGTTAAGCCTGTGCATATTAGGTTGCATTTGCTTACTTTGTGGTATCGCCCGAATGCAGATCCGAGGATTCAGCAGATGCCAAAACACCAACCAAATCGAAGGATTTGCCAAAGGCGGGTTCGTCTATCGACACTGCTGCCCAAGAGACAGAAACTACCACCGATGGTAAGGATGCTGGATCTAAAAAATCGAGTGATATTCCTAAGGAAACAGAGGCGGCTCAAAAGGACACCGGATCAGACAAAAAGTAGAAAATCCCGATGCAATAAATTATGCTATCCCGATTTTACAGCGGTTTCACTAGGTTGCAGTGTATTTTTGAGCTGCTAAAATTCTAGCAGGATTCAAATTTTTAAAGCCAACAACAGCCTGAACCCATTTTATTATATGCCTGGGCAGAGGTTGGAATCTGAGCAGAATCCTACGCAGAAATTGCGGATGCCGGTGTCGTTCGAATCCAGTGCGTGTTAATAAATTAGATTCCTCGATTGCAATTATAACTCGGGAAGATTTTTCCGCGTTCATAACGTTTGTACACCCTTGCCACTTCTTGCATGCACCAGTAGTCCGCTAAGGACACTTTTCAGTTTATCTGGCAATTTTGGTTGCGCTATAGGCAAATGTCTCGATTTGGAGTCATCGGAACTGATGCGGTTTCGACAAGTCTCGCCAGATGCATACTTTCTTTACATTGTTCAAGCTCAAGGATATATACAGGAAGTGTGAAAGTAATTGAATAGCATGCTACAGAATGTACCAGTCCAAGACGACCCACATTGTTAGCGGGCTGATATAGCATTCCTGATGAGCATTACACCAGTATAGGAATATCTTAAACGACCGCAATTGTCCCGCGTAAGTAACAGCCCCACCTTATCCTTCAACCGGCGTCACCTTACGAGCGCTCGGAAACATGCACCCAACATAGCCGTAGCAGGGGATATGAGCACATCATTCCTGCCCAGCTGGCTTGTCGTTGGTCATTAATTCCTTAACTGCATCGATCTTTCCTTTTATTGTGGTCGTTTTATCGGTGCGGGTGCCCAGTCGAATGTTTGTGCTGATGCGTACCACACCACCGGCGTGAAGCTTCAAGTGTACACGCTTTATGGCCGCCATAATAACTGCCGTGATATTTAAACGACATGTGATCAGTTTTTCAAAATATAAAAATAAAATGAGCAATAACATACTACACTTCATCGAAGTGGCATGGACAAATCTGCATTTTTTTTGTATGCGTGTACAATATACTGAATGTGTCTCTTGTGTACAGTTTACAGCCAAACCATAAATAGAGCGATACGTATGTCATATATATATATATATATATACACGTGTATGTTCATAAACATCAACATATCCAAACAAAAATACACACACACACATAAATTTACACACCGTATGCTCATAAATAGTATATATATATACATATATATATGTATATCCATAAATAATTTCATACATACATACATACAC